TTTTTTCTTTTTGCTTATGTGGTGCTGAGGAATTGAACCCAGGGCCTCAGGCATGCAAGGCAAGCGCTCTACCACTGAGCCACCTTCCCAGCCCCTCATTTGTTTTCTTATGGTACTAAGAGTGAACCTAGTACCATGTGCGTGTTAAGTAGGCACTCTACCACTGAGCTATATCCATTACCTTTATTTTTTGGTCAGTTGTGGGGCTTGAACTCGACCTGGGCATTGTCCCTCAGCTCTTCAGCTCAAGGCTAGCACTCTACCTACCACTTGAGCCAAAGTGCTACTTCTGGTTTTCTGAGTAGTTTATTGGAGATAAGAGTTTCACGGACATTCTGGCCTGGGCTGGCTTTGAATCTCAGATCTCAGCTTCCTGAGTAGCTAGAATTACAGGTGTAAGCCACCAGTACCCAGCCATTCATAACCTTTAAAGTTTTGTTTATTTGTTTTTGCTGGTCCTGGGCCCTTGGACTCTGGGTTTGGGCACTGTCCCTGAGCTCCTTTTTGCTCAAGGACCACAGTGCCATTTTGGGCTCTTTCTGTGATTAATTAGACATAAGCGTCTCATGGGCCTTCCAGACATGGCTGCCTGCAAAACCACAAGCCTCAGATCTCAGTCTCCTGAATAGCTCACAGGTGTGAGCCACTGGTGCCTGGCAGAATTGTTTTTTCTTGGTCCTGGTGCTTGAACACAGGACCTAGGTACTGTACTGAACTTTTGTGTTCATGGCTAGTGCTCTGCTTTTCAGCTTTTCAGTGGTTAATTGGAGATAAGAGTCTCATGGACTTTCCTGCCCATATTGGCTTCGAACGTAAGCTCCTTAGGTTTTAACCTCCTAAGTACCTAGGATTACAGGCATAAGTCACCAGTGCCTGACTGTTAGTATTTTGAGGCAGAGTCTCATTGTTAATGTAAACTTTTCTCAAACTTGATATCCTCCTATCTTTGCTTCTTGAGTGCTGCTACTGTAGTCTTGCACTATCTGACAGTCCCTATTTTATTAGTGTTATTAATTATAAGCCAGCGTGGGCTTGAACTCCACACCTTTGCTCTTGTTCCACCACTTCTTTTGCTGGTGTTCTACCACTTGAGCTATTCCTCCATTTCCATATTCCTTATTTTCATTCTTTTTTTTTTTTTCCTTCCAGCCATTGGGCTTGAACTCAGGGCCTGGTTGCTGTCCATGAGCTTTTCTGCTTAAGGCTAGCACTCTACCACTTTTAGCTACAGCTCTACTTTTGCTTTTCTGGTGGCTAGTTTCATGGACTTTTCTGCCCCAACTGGTTTTTGAACTAAGATCCTCAAATCTTAGCCTCCTGAGTAGCTAGGATTACAAGCATGAGCCACCATCATCCAGCTGATCCCTCCCCCCCTCCCCCCCCCCACATTGTAGGGCTTGAACTCAGGGCCTGGGCACTGTCCCTGAGTCTCTTTGCGCTTATGGCTAGGGCTCTACCACTTGAGCCACAGCACCATTTCTGGTTTTTGAGTGATTAATTGGAGATAAGAGTCTCACACAGACTTTTCTGCCTGGGTTGGCTTCAAATCCTGATCCTCAGATCTTAGCCTCCTGAGTAGCTAGGATTACAGGCATGAGCTACCAGCATCTGACATTCAGAACTATACTAGTATATATATTAACTAATTGTACAAAAAAATAGATTTTATTGTTTTTCAAACATGAGTGTAATGGACTTTGATCATATTTACTATACAGAGGTGCGCATGTGCGTACACACATTTCTGTATTATTTAATAGAAGGCATTACAGTGATACTGTTTTTTTTATTGAATTAGTGAAATCTTACAAAAAACTGAATACATTTAACTAATAGATAATGACATGTCCTTATCCACTTGTAAACAGTACTTTTTTCCAACAGGCTGTGATGGATGCATATATGAAACCTTGCTACCAATATATTCAAGCGACACGGAAAAAGACCAGCGAGTCGTTAGTTCATTGTTGCTCAAGACTGTTGTAACGGGGGGTGCTCGAAATGGTGTTGGACTCACTGCCCTGGATTCAGATCACATGGCAGTCCTCGGGCCTCCTCTGCCAGTTTCTAAGGGTAAATGAATGCATAGCAAAGTCCTTTACCCCTTGGCTTTCCCTTTAGTTTTTCATTTCTTTTTTCTTTTTCTTTGATTTGAGACAGTCTCACTATGTAGCCAGGCTAGCTTCTGACTGCTGATCCTGCTTCAGCCTTCTAAGTGCAGGGATTGCAGATGTGTACTGCCATGTCTGGCTTTCTTTATTACCATTCCTATTCAATCTCTTGGTCATTTTTGTAACTTAATTTTTCTTTTTACTTTGTTTTTTGCGACCATGTCTTGTTACATAGCCCAGGCTATTCTGGTACTTGTTTTATTAGCACAGACTGGACTCAAGTTCAGGATCCTCCTGTCAGGGCTGGGAAGGTGGCTCAGTGGTAGAGCGCTTGCCTTGCATGCATGAATCTCTGAGTTCGATTCCTCAGCATCACATAAGCAAAAAGAAAAAAAGCCGGAAGTGGTGCTGTGGCTCAAGTGGTACAGCGCTAGCCTTGAACTGAAGAGCTAAGGGACAGTGCCCAGGCCCAGAGTTCAGGCCCCACGACCGGACCCAAAAAAAACCCCAAAGATCCTCCTGCCTTAGTTTTCCAAATCCTTTATTAGCGGCCTGTAACACCACACATAGGGCCTCACATATATTAGACAGTCCTTCTCCTATTCAGCTACACACACTCTGCATTCCCTCTTTTGCTTGTTTTTTTTTTTTTTTTTTGTCGGTTATGGGGCTTGAACTCTGGGCTTGGGTACTGCCCCTGTGCTCTTCAGTTCAAGGAGAGCACTCTACCACCACAGCAATACTTCCAGTTTTCCAGTGGTTTATTGGAGATAAGAGTCTCACGGACTTTCCTGCCCTGGCTGGCTTTGAACCCTGATCCTCAGATCTCAGCCTGAGTAGCTAGGATTACAGGTGTGAGCCACCCGCACCAGCTTTGCTTGTTTTTTGTTGTTTTTTTTTAATTTGGGTTAATTGTCTTTTTTAACCATTCAACAAATCATTTTGAAAAGGTAGTCCTGGGATTTGGAACTCAAATCTAGGTGTTGTCCCTAAGCTTTTGTGCTTAAGACTAGCACTCTGCCACTTGAGCCATAGCTCTATTTCTGGATTTTTGATTTTTTTTTTTTTGGGTCCGGTCGTGGGGCCTGAACTCTGAGCCTGAGCACTGTCCCTCAGTTCTTCAGCTCAAGGCTAGCGCTCTACCACTTGAGCCACAGCACCACTTCCTCCTTTTTCCTTTTTGCTTATGTGGTGCTGAAGAATCGAACCCAGGGCTTCAGTTATGCAAGGCAAGCGCTCTACCACTGAGCCACCTTCCCAGCCCTGGCTTTTTGATATTTTTATTTATTTTTTGGGTCTGGTCGTGGGGCCTGAACTCTGGGCCTGGGCGCTGTCCCTCAGCTCTTCAGCTCAAGGCTGGCACTCTACCACTTAAGCCACAGTGCTACTTCCAACTTTTTTCTTTTTGCTTATGTAGTGCTGGGGAATCGAACCCAGGGCCTCAGACATGCAAGACAAGCGCTCTACCACTGAGCCACCTTCCCAGCCCTTTTTTGATACTTTATTAGAGATAAGAGTCTCACGTACTTTCCTGCCTAGGTTAGCTTTGAACCATGATTCTCAGACCTTAGCTTGCTGAGTAGCTATAATTACAGGTCTAAGCCCCCCATGCCTGGCTGGTTGTTTGGTTGTTTGTCTTTGCTGTTGATTTTTAGGGTCCCTTATGAGATACAATTCCCATTAGTTTTTTCCCCAATTCTTTCTTCTATTGCTGCTCCTGTTTGTTTTTATTTTGGTGGTGGTGGTGGTGGTGGTGGTGGTGGTGGTGGTGGTGGTGGTGGTGGTGTGTGTGTGTGTGTGTGTGTGTATGTGTATGCGCATGCGCACACACTCACGTGTACATGTGTGTGCCAGTCCTGGGGCTTGAACTTAGGGCTTGAATGCTGTCTGAGCTTTTTTTCTCAAGGCTAATGTTCTATTTGAACCACAGCTCCACTTCCAGAATTTTGGTGCTTAGAGGTAGGAGTCTCACAGACTGTCTTGCATGGGCTGGTTTCAACCAAGATCCTCAGATCTCAGCCTCCTGAGTAGCTAGTGTTACAGGCGTCAGCCACTGGCCACCAGCTTTTAGTTTTTTGTTTTTGTTTTTTTTATTTGGGTCCGGTCGTGGGGCATGAACTCTGGGCCTGGGCTCTGTCCTTCAGCTCTTCAGCTCAAGGCTAGCGCTCTACCACTTGAGCCACAGTGCCACTTCCGGATTTTTACTTATGTGGTGCTGAGGAATCGAACCCAGTGCCTCGAGCATGCAAGGTAAGTGCTCTACCACTGAGCCACCTTCCCAGCCCCTTGTTTTTGTCTTTAATAGTATCTTAGGACCAGCCTGGACTAAGATCCTCCTATTTGTACTTCCCCACATAGCTCGTAAGACAGACATGAGTTATTATACTCAACAAATTTTTCTTTGTGTTTTCTTTATATTTCAGATAGCAGGTCAACCTAGACTCATAGTTCAGAGCCTGCCTAGGCTACAGATCAAGACTTTGTCTCACAAAAGACCTCAAATAGTGATTGTTCCCCAGTAATTGTATGTATTGGAGGCCTAGCTAGAAGGATTGCAGATTCAAGGCCAGCCTGGATACGCTAATGCAAGACCCTGTTTCAGAAAGTAAAAAAAAGATGTTGGAGCTACAGCTCAAGTGATAGATTGCTTACCTAGTATTTGTGACACTGTGAATCAGAGAATGTCAAGTCTTCTAACTCTCCCTCTACCCCAACACGGAAAAAAAAAATGTCCAAAGCTGGCCTTGAACTCTTGAGTCCTACCAAGTTGTGGGTTTACAAGCACACAGCACCATAACGAACTTAGTTTTATTCCTTTTCAGGATTGCTTTAGTTATTTGAGCTCTTGGAAGTTTTGTGGTTTTTGTTTTTGTTTTTGTTTTTTGGTCAGTAATGGGGCTTGAACTCAGGGTCTGTCCCTGAGCTCTTCAGCTCAAGGCGAGCACTCTACCACTTGAGCCACAGCTCCACTTCCAGTTCTCTATGGTTTATTGGAGGTAAGAGTCTCATAGACTTTCCTTCCCATGTTGGCTTTGAACCGTGATTCTCAGATCTCAGCCTCCTGAATAGCTAGGATTGATTACAGTCCTGAGCCACTGGCACCCTGCAAAAGGAGTATTTTTAAATTTTTCCTTAGATTGTACATAGTAAGGGTTTCATCATGACCTTTCCATACATTGATCCTGTTCATCCCCTCTAGTCCTGCTTATCTTCCTTGGCCTTTGGAATTTTGATATGGATTCAGTGAATCTATAGATTGCTTTGTGCAGGAATGCTGTCTTTTTTCAACTTACAGATTCACATGTAATTGATAAGACCTCCTACCTTTCCTCCATTCTCACCTGCCAGGGGTACTTCTTGCCATGTCCTCTCCCATTGTCCAACTTCCAGGCTAGTTGTAGTATTTATTGCTCATTTTATACTTAATTAAATCATACTTCGGTCTTTACTCTGATGCTTTCCCCTTCCCCAAGATATGATGTATGTATTCTTCAAACTATTTCTGAGTTTGTCTTATTTTTTAGAATGCCTTTCCATATGGAACATAAAATTTCAAACTTTACAGACTTCAAAAGAGTTACCACAAGGGACCAGTGGACAAGTAAGTTTTTTTCTCTTGAGGATTTTTTTCAAATTTGGTTTTATTTTTTTGAGACAGGGTATCAGTATGAAACCCAAGCTGGCCTTGAACTTTCAAACTTCTTGCTTTAAGCCCCAGAGTCCTGGGATTATTATTGTGTGCCACTGCACCAAGCCAAATTGTGTTATTTTGCTATCCATAAATATTGTGAAGGAAAAGATCTCCCTACAGACCTAACTTTGATTAAAGTAAATTAAAAAATTTTTTTAGTTGGGCACGAGTGGCTCACACCCATAGTCCTAGCTACCTGGAAGACTGAGATTGGGAGGCTTGTGGCCAAGACCAGCTTGGACAGAAAAGTTTGTAAGATCCCCTTCTTTTTGGGGGTCTGGTCGTGGGGCCTGAACTCTGGGTCTGGGAGCTATTCCTTAGCTCTTCAGCTCAAGGCTAGCACTCTACCACTTGAGCCACAGAGCCACTTCTGGCTTTTTATTTTTTCTGCTTATGTGGTGCTGAGGAACCGAACCCAGGGCCTCATGCAAGGCAAGCGCTCTACCACTGAGCCACCTTCCCAGCCCTTTAAGATCCCCTTCTTGACCAACTTGTCAACCTACAGCATGAGAAATTGATATCAGGAAGATGGAGGTTCTAGCCTAACTTCGGCAAAAAAAAAAAGTCTGCAAGATGCCCATCGTAAGAAGCTGGGTGTGATGGTGAGCATCTGTCATCCCAACGATGGCAGGAAAGAAGATCGCCGCATAGGCATGTACCTGGGCAAGACTGTCTAAACAAAGTAACCAGTGCGGAAAAGGACTAGGGCTGTGGATCAGCAGTGGGACACCTGCCCACAAGCTTGAGCCCCTGAGTCAACCCCCAGTACTCCCCAAAGTTTTTTTTTCGGTTGTGGGGCTTGAACTCTGGGCCTGGGAACTGTCCCTCGGCTCTTCAGCTCAAGGCGAATGCTCTACCACTTGAACTACAGTGCCACTTCTGGTTTTTTCTGGTGGTTTATTGGAGATAAGAGTTTTACGGCCGGTCCTGATGGCGCACACTGGTAATCAACGAGGAGGATGAGGCAGAGGAGGACCATGAGTTTGAGACCAGCCTGGGCTACACCTTTTAGCCAGGCACCAGTGGCTCACGCCTATAATCCTAGCTACTCAGGAGGCTGAGATCTGAGGATCTTGGTTCAAAGCCAGCCCCGGCAGGAAACTCAGGGAGACTCTTATCTCCAATAAGCCACCAAAAAGCCGGAAGTGGCACTGTGGCTCAAGTGGTAGAGCGCTAGTCTTGAGCTGAAGAGCTGAGAGACAGCGCCCAGGCCCAGAGTTCAGGCCCCACGACTGGACCCCCCCCAAAAAAAAGAATTAAAATTTAAATAGAACTAACTTCATAAAGCTAGGGTTCTTGGTTGAACTCTTTTATACTTACAGTGCCTAGCAGTGAGTCAGAATGTTTACTTCATTTACTGTCTGGGAAATATTGGTATATAAATAAAACAGTAATTTGGGTATTAGAATATTATTTTTTGTTTTTGTTTTTTTGGTCGGTTCTGGGGCTTGAACTCTGGGCCTGGTCCCTCAGCTCTTCAGCTCAAAGCTAGTGCCACTTCAAGCCTTTTCTGTTTATGTGGTGCTGAGGAATGGAATCCAGGGCCTCATGCAAGCACTCTACCACTAAGCCACCTTCCCAATCCCAAGTATTGATTTAATGAGAGTAATTCCAGTTTTCTCAGCTTAAAATTAAGTTATAATTTATATTTAACAACTGATTTTAACAAAATAAACAATTCACAGTTGTACTCTAACAAACTTGTTTTGTGTTTCTTTAGTCCTTTAAGCTTGTGTTTAAAAACCTGTTTTTTCTTTACAATCTGATCTTTGGAATCATAACATAGAAACACTGAGAGCCAATCACATTAACATAGTCCTAAAATCCCAGAACTCCCAAAGCAGGATGAGTACAAGTTTAAGTCCAAGCTGGGCTATATAACCCAAGTTTCAAGCCAGTGTGGGCTATAGTGAGGCCCTGTCTCAGAAACAGCAACAGCAATAACAAAAAAAAGTAGGCTGTGTGGCTCAAGACTATGAACTAGCTGTGAGGTACAGATCGGGGATCAAGGTTCTACACCAGCCCTGGCAAAAAAGAAGTTGAAGAGATTCTATCTCAGGTGTGGGGAAACATGGGTACAGTAGCATTTGCCTGTTATCTCCAGTAGCACAGAAATACAAGTAGGAGGATGACAGCCTAGGCCTGCCCAGGCATAAAGTAAGACTTTACTGTGAAAATAGGCCAAGGCAAAAGGGGGCTGGAGGCATAGTTCAGGTGGTAGAGCACCCTGACCTCCCATTCTGCCCAGCAATCACCAGTACTACCAAAACTGAAAATACCCTTTAAATTATGATTTATTGAGACTTGACCCTAGCTAGTAGTAAGTTATGCATATTATATTATTTTGAAAAGTTGACTGAATTTGCATTGTTTGTATTATACTTAGCTTATACAGTAAGTTATTGTTATAAGACTATTGAGTCAGGTTTTAGAAGAGGAAAAATTTACATTGTTTTGTTTTCTAGCTCTGGTATTATGGAGAAGTTTTGTTTATGTTACATGGGAAGTTTCTAACTGTGATTCCATACAAGTGTGAAGTTTCATCATTGGCAGGTGCCCTGGGGAAACTCAAGCATAGTCAAAATCAAGGTAGGAATTTGTTTATACACTTTTTTGTTCGTTTGTTTTTTGATGCCAGTCCTGGGGCTTGAACTCAGGACCTGAGCACTGTCTCAGCTTTTTTGCTCAAGACTAGTGTTCTACCACTTGAGCCACAGGTCTACTTCCAGCATTTTGGTGGTTAGTTGGAGATAAAAGGTCACAGACTTTCCTGCCTATGCTAGCATAGAACTGAGATCCTCAGATTTCAGTCTACCAAGTAGCTAGGATTGCAGGTGAGAGCCACTGGCACCCAACTATATACTGTTTAATTAGTGCAAACATTTTACCTTACCTTCTGGTTTCAAATACAGGTTTGCATAGCCACCTCTGCACAGGCCTCTTCCTAATGTAGACATTTGCTTCTGTTCACTGGCTGAGGATCCTTAGGAATGGTGCCCAGGGAGGGGCCATAGCATGATTGCAAGGCAAACCAGCTATGCCTCTCTCCACCCCTCATTTACTATAGCTCCTGACGTTGATTCAGCATTGCTGCTCTGATTTGTAATCCTCAGCTGTGTTAGAATTTACCTGTGAAGTTATTGGTGGAGTTACATGGACTTCACTTGTGCAGGATAGTTATTTTTTGTTTTTTGTTTTGTTGGTCCTGGGGCCTGAACTCTGTGCCTGTGTGCTGTTACTCAGCTCTTCAGCTCAAGGCTAGTGCTCTACCACTTGAGCCACAGTGCCACTTCAGGCTTTTTCTGCTTATGTGGTGCTGAGGAATCGAACCCAGGGCCTCATGCATGCAAGGCAAGCACTCTACCACTGAACTACCTTCCCAGCTCCAGGAGAAGTGCTTTGGTTTTTGATTGAACCTTGATTGGTCAGAGTATTCTATTTGTATATCTTACATTTTCTTTTTAGACATTCAGACCATTCCCCATTTTGCAAACTGGGAAACCTCTCAGGAATTTGGATTTGAATCTTACAACTCTGAACAGTCAAGGAAAATGGTATGTTTGGTTTTCTCTTATTATTATACTTGTATTTAAGTAGTTGTATGAGGGAGTTACTATCAACAAATAAATGCAATGCATCTTGATAGATGTCACTCCTTTCGTCTTTCTGACACAAATTTAGTACTTGAAGGAGAGATGGCAGAGCCGGGTGTCAGTAGCTCAATCCTAGCTATGCAGGAGGCTGAGATCTGAGGATCATGGTTCAAAGCCAGCCTGGGCAGGGACGTCTGTGAGACTCATATCTCCAATAAACCACTCAGAAAATGGGACGTGGCACTTGACTCAAGTGGTAGAGCGCTAGCCCTGAGCTGAAGAGCTGAGGAACAGAGTCCTGGCCCGGAATTCAGGCCTCACAACTGAGGGGAAAAAAAGAGATACACAGAGAGAGAGATGGCAGGAAGATGTTGATAAACAGAAGCTGAATTCTTTTCATGACTCATCTGTACAACTTAAGCTTTAATCCCAGTGACAGGGCAGTTTGAGTCTTGGAACCTGGGAACCTCTTGCCTTTTTATCCAAAATTGACT